AAAAACTCCAAATATAGGAGTTAGCCACCTTCAGACAAAACACAAAGCCATAGAGTCTGCTGCCAGGCCATGGTTTATGATAGCTGAGGGCATATTACATTAAAAGCATTAATAGTTCAGCATATATTGACCAATGCAGCGCTAATAGTGCTTACAAGTCTGTAATCGACCGGTCCATTATCCAGAACAAAACAATACACTGGATGCAAATAAACAACGAAGCATAGACGTTTTAAAAGCTGCCGTCTTCAAATGAGTTATTGCTTACATGTGTCGTTATGTTGATGTTACCAAAACGGCAAAACAAGTGATCTAAGATATTATATACTGGCAACATCACCACAAGAGATTAAATCATACAGACGCATATACAAACATGATTAAAGAGTGATTTTTAGTTAGTTACAGAAACATTTGGGAAAAAATGAAAAAAAAAGGAGTGCAAGGGTAAAATAGCAATATGTATGTATTCATCTCAAGTCATCATTCAATGGCCCAAATATGTCCAAAGGCATTAATAACCCATGCTCTTTTCAAATACTTCTTTAACTGATAATAGTAGTTCAGCCGAGATTTTTGAATTTCAAAATCAGTTTTACAGCCCCTAAATCTTGTTATTTTTTCATTTCGATGTCCCGCCCTCCATCGTTTCACCAAACAGAAAGCCTGTGATCCGAGTTGCCAGAACTCACCGCGTCGAGCTAATCTCACTGGTAAAGTAAAATGTGCCCGCAGAACTAAGAAAAGGTCTCGTTATGATTCTCAATTCATTAATGACAAAACAAGGAATAAAACCAGGATTTCTATCGGGGGCCTTTGTGAAAAAGGTGTTGGTTAAAGATTTGTTGTTGTCAAAACTCTTGTCTATTCAGTTATTATGGTCCCAGCTGGATTCGTCTGCATATCTGGCAACCTAAGTCAGGGAGAGTGGGAGAGGTTGCAGTACCACTTTTGACCAGATTTTTACACACTACTCCTTTAGCAAGTTAGCCTTCTTGATCTATTGCAGGGGTGTCCAAACTTTTTAGTAAGAGGGCCACTTTAGTTCACCAGACTAGTTCTTGGCCGACATCTCAGACTGAACCACTGTTGACTGAGCTTTAAAAGGATCTATAACAGAGCTGAAGTTGGCTGAATGACACATGTTTACCATCTCACCAGCTACATTAGCACCTTTAACGAAAGTTTGTGACACAATCAAAAACCAAGTCAGCACCGTATGGACAAATAACGACTGGATGGCTGGATGACACAGTGAACTTGTGTTTATGATCTCATAGACAACTTTGGGTTAGCAAGGCATAATATGACACTGAGGGCCGCATTTGGCCCCCGGGCCGGAGTTTGGACATGCCTGCTCTATTGTATAAAGTCGTCCCACTATTGTCCGCACTACTCCCCATGACCTAATCCAGTATTTGAAGTTGAAAGGAACCAAACCAGTTCATATCAGGACAATTGTCAACGCACCCAAAGGCCAATAAGTGCACATCTAGATTTTACTTGGATTTTCTTTTCTGTCCACAAGGCAGAATCCGACCAACAAGTCAAAGCAGTCTTGCCACACATGTGTTGAGACAATATGGACGCCAGCTTCTCTCAGCTCCTCATCCTCATCTGGGCACAATGTGGGACCATGTTTTTTGGAGAAAGTTTTGCAAAAGAACGTTAAATTGGCTCCAACAACTGACAAGTAAATATACTGTAAATGTGTATAGGATCAGAGCCCGCAAATGCAAGCCACCCGTGTCCTTATGTTTGCCAACGTTTGAGCTGCAATAAACTAAATAGAACGGCAAATGATTTCAATAATTGAGGATGTATTTGGGAATAACAAAGGAGAAATTGCGTTCTTTCAGAAATCCGAACTGGGGGCACAAACAAAACCAACGAGATTATTACACTGGTTTATTTGTCAAAGATTTCAGGGAATTGATTTCATAATTTGTTGTTCATGCTTGGAATAAATCTTAAATGATTACTAAAACAGCAGCCTAGGATATTGTTATTGGTCATGTGAGAAAGTGACATTACTTCAAGGACTGGTTTATTGTGTGTTTTATTTTTCCTGTCATTATGCATGCGCTTTAACTTTTGTTCTTATTTTTTAGTGGAGCCAGACCCGGGGAGCACAGTCTAAGCTATTCTAAAGTCAGCCCATTTTGTATTTACAGTATCTCAGATTCAGATTCATTTATTCGCCATTTGCAGTAAAACCAAATTGGAATACATTAGCAAAAGTCCCCAGTGTGCACCAGACAAGTACAGACATAAAACAACATTAAAAGTATAGAAATACAACAATAAAAAAAGTTAACAATTGTCACTATGAAATTGACCGACTAAAACAGTTTCTATACAAGTGCAAGATCGTTGAAGGGCTCTGTTCAAACTGATAACAGCTTGTGGAAAAAAACTCTCAGAGAACGATTTATCTTCTGCCAGAGGGAAGAAGCTGGAACAAGGCTTTTCCAGGGTGGCCACAAGAGCCGTTGATAATTCTAAGAGCTCGGTTTAAAAGTCTGGATTTATAAAGAAGCTCCAGAACAGGAATCTCACAGTCTCTTGCTTCTTCATTATGTTGAAGTTGGAGATTGTATACTTGCTTCTTTGTTATGCTTTTTTATTTAATTTAGAATAGATTTATTGTTCACTTATCTTGTGTTGTGCGCTCCTCATTCCTACTATTCTGTAACCGGTGATGCAACACTGAAATTTACCCATTGTGGACGAGTTGAGGATGTCTTAATCTTAAACATTTTGAAAGACCATTTCTTAAAAACATATGGTATTCTTTCATTCTCTGTTTTTCCCTTGTTTTGTATTGGTCAGTGGACTATTCCGCCAGTAGTCACACGTCACTTTCTCTGGCCTCTCCCTTCAAATGAGTCTCACAAAATCAAAACGTCCCACCGAATGCATAAAACAGTGGAATGAGATGTAAATGTAGAAGAAGCTGTCCATCTGTGAAGGAGCAGCACTGCAACACCTGACCCTTGTGGATAACCACTGCTCCCATTCCAACACACCCAACCATGGCTTCATCAGTCAAAACAATCGTCATCTATCATCCTGCATGCATAGACCAGGGATTTGTGAAGAAAGTCCATTTATAACAGTCTTTTTTTCCAGAAATATGACCCTTGAGGGCTCGGAGCAGAATACATACATTTTACACCTACGAATGTATTAATATAATCCACATGTGAAGGATTGAACAACTGTTTAGTGTCACTACTGCTTTGCTTAAGCTACAGCGATCCCTTACTGTAAGCTGCAGTCCCTGTACAGAAAGGACGTAGGTTCAATCCGTGGTCAGCCAACTATAACTTGTGGGTTCAGAATACCAACCCTATAGCATAAAACTAGCTTCCTCATAGTTGAACATCATAAAAGAGTTGAGTGAAAGTGTATGAGAAAGTAAGCGGTACACGGTTAAAGTCAGAATCCTCCACATCATCTCTGGTTTATTGATGCAAACCAGAGAAACGTGACATTCTGGGTCTAGGGCCCTTCATCAGACAATAACAGGGAAATAATACCCCAGGCCCAAATCAGAATCAAAAGCAAAATTATTTTTTATTGCCATTGTGAGTAACAAGAAGTCACCAACTAGGAAATTGCTTTGGCTCTTGGTGCAAACAAGTTATACAAGTAAAAATAGAATAAGGCATGCATGATGTTTGTAGGAAACTTTTTAGCTTATTTATCTATTTTATTACACATAATTTTTGTATGATAACATATTGTCGTATACTTAATATTCAATTATTTTGAATATTATTTTACTGTTTGTAACTTGTAATGCATCACTAGACTCGGGGAGCACTGTCAAAGAGCTGTGCTAAAGTCAGAGATTTTATACTTGATTTTACTGCTTCGTTACAGTATATGTTGAAGCTGGAGATTTTAGACTTGCTTTTTTATGGTGCTAAAGAGTTTTTAATCCATTTTAGTATAGAGTTATTGTTCATTTATCTTGTGTTGTGTGCTCCTCATTACTGCTCTGTATTTTGTAATGCATCACTGACATTTCCCTACCGTGTGACGAATAAAGGATCTATTAATCTCTTAAAATTAGCTGTTGTTGCTATTATATGTGGTATATATAACTGCTCTTCACATTTGAAACCAAAACAGAGCATTTGAAAACGGATACAATTTAAAATATATCACAAAAATGTGTTTGACATGGGCCGAGAAATGTTGATTTTGTTTGTCACACCTTTGCCTGAGTCTGATTGCGAGTTGAGGATCGGCCCTCCCTTTAATCATCTGGCATCACGGAGCTGGATGTCTGCATGTGGCAAATTATGGCCAGACTTTTTAAGTAAACATGTTTGTGACGCATACATCTCTGCTGTAGACCTCACAACACAGAGAAACCTGAGTTTGGCCCAGGCTAAGACAAGGTGAAGGGATCCCAAGCATGTAGTTTTGGCCTCATATGTTACGGAAAGAACAAAGACATAAAATAGTACGGCTGCATATGTACAGATTCAGTTCAATTTACTTGTTTTTGTATAACCCTAAATCGCAACAGTAGTTATCCCGGAGGACCTAACAAGCCGTCGACTCGCCAAAATAGAGCAGAGAATCAAAACACATGAAATGCAATCATAAAAAATCACATTGACGATTGTTTAAACATAAGGGGCAGATGACCAATGTCCAGAGATAGATATATACGTTATTGATCCCCTGAAGGAGAAATTCATGTGTCCAGTAGCAGCAGAAACACATCCATCCATAAAACAAAACAAATAAATACATAATTCTTGAAGTAGCTAAAAATAGTGATACAATGCAACAGAACTTCATACGTTGCTAAAGTCCAGAAAAAAGTCAATAAACTGAAGAAGAAGAAGGTCCTTTATTGGTCCCACAGTATAAGACCTTTTGGATGCAGTCATTTGAAATACATATATCAGCTGTTTCCCCATTTTACTTCTCAACCGCCTTTAACAATGAACAAAACACTCTCTTGATTTGCCATTTCCTCAGAGTGTCCGTCTCTTCCTGAAGCAGCTGCAGTCTCCGTCTTCTCTCTGCGATGTCCCATGAATACTGAGCACCCAGACTCTACAGGAGACGATGCCCAGGTGCCCGGCTTCTTTCTCCGCTGTAAATATGCGAAGGAACCTGATAAGACAGAGCCTGAGCAGAGAGCGTTCTGGGAGATGCTGAATAGTAATGGTTTTTTGGAGGTTGCTATGGAGAGTTTTCCTTCGGGACGTCCCAGGAGGAGCGAGGGAGTGACAGGCGAGAGACAGATCGCTTGGCTCCATACCACCCTGCAGCACCGCCACTGAACCTGCAAATCACTTTATGATGAAGCATTGCCTTGCCGCTGTGTAAGGGCAGGCGCCATTATGTAGAGACAATAAAGGGAAATTGGATTACAAAGACAGCCACATGATAACTTACAGGTTAAAAAGCAGAATCATGTGTTACTGGAAATAAAATGAAGCTTCAGGTGCTTCTTCTGTCGGAAAGTGGTGTAAAAAGAAACTCAAGTCTCAACAAAAATCCCATTTTCTTTATTTTTCCGGGTGACAAACTGAAGCGCAGCTGTGAGAATTGACAGCAAGCAACCACATGTTATTCTAGTGATTGTCGAAAAGAATGAACTCTCTCTCACACTGTACATGAAACACTTCATATGGCTTCTCATGAAGGAAAACACGTTTGTCTGACAAAGACGCACGGCCTTGCTTACCTGTAAAAACAATACTGATGCAGGCAGCACCTGCGAAGAACCCTCCCTCAGCCAATCAGTTTCTAACAGATCTAAACGGATAAAGATAGCATGTGTGTTCGTAACATTTACTTTGTATTTGGAAAAAGAAAATGTCTTTATGAAAAAGATAAAGGGTTAGCTACTCCAGCTGAAGTAACCTTTTAATGCATCTATTTTCAAAGAGTGAAAAAGGCTCAGAGTTATGAAGAGTTATAAAGGCTCTTTACAATTTCAAGCATTTTTCTTTCTTTTGTTTCACACACAATGGTGGTAAACAACTGACACAAGCGAGGCTGCCGCAGTTTTGCCTAAGGACACAACAACAGGTCATCATTTTACAGCTTCACAGATCCTGCTTTGGCCCCTGGTGTCCACAGCGGTCTCCCATCCCTCTGCTTAGCGTATGAAGGGAGCTTAATCTTAAAAGTACAAAAATATGGTTCTAGTCTCTTCTAAGCTTCCTCTCTGTTAAGCCATACACACCACAGTATTGTATTGTATTACATTGATTATCAGGAAAAGTGCTTAAAGTGGAAGTGGCCATCCAGTAAATTGATTTAGAATTACTTTAGGTGAAGCCACGTATGAAAGCTCTTACCTGTCATTAAGAGCATTCATGGAGCACTAGAGCATACATACTAGATACACAATTGTGCTGACCATCCAAATCCTGTCACACAGACCTGACACGTCTAATGGATAATTACTTCTGCTGAACAACCACACTGACCACGGCAGCTTTTATTGGAGCAAAAAGCAATCCGGAAAATGTTCTATTCTCACAGAGTACTTGTGTGCAGCATTGACAGCACAGGATCTCCCTGGACCACTTTCTGATCGCTGAAGCATTTTTAATGATTGATAAAGTGGTTATTGAAATAAGCCGCACCATCCATTATTTAGAACAGTGTGAAACATTAGAGCAGAGTACTGTCTGATTACTTTGGCAACAATAGGAAATGATGGTTTATATCGAACCAGCCGACACTATTTCATTCTGTTATCTGCTTTTTTTGTCTATCGCTAATTGTTTCATATATTGCACTGTGAAAAAAGCAAATTATATTTGTGCTGAAGGCCCACTGGAGAAGCTACTTGTAGTTTGATGATGTCCGAGAGGGCTATTATGGTTTTGTTACAATATTTAATAAAATGGTCATGAAAAGTAGACACACTAACAATCTTTGAGCTTTTCCCTTTGAGATTTACTTTTCCTTGTATTTATTCTGTTGATGAGATTAATTAACTTTATTTGATATAGTTACAATACCAACATAATGGATAGAATTAACCTTGGTCTTATCCTAGTCCAATTTGGATATCCATATCAATTCAAAAGGCATCATACTTTAACCCTTGATTCATTTCCTTATTGGGAAAAAATAACCCTTCCATAATCATGAGATTTATATGAAAAATAACCTCAAGACCAATTTCCACCCAAGCTTGTTTGCTGATGTCTCAAGAGATTGCTTCAATACCTCCACACGTGGTTCCTTCTTCATGAGGCAGTAGTTCCTCCTGAAAACAACACTCCCACGATTTAGAGTTGGTATGATGATCATTATGGTTAATATAGTCTTAGTCAGTTATTCAGAAAAAAATAAGGCCATTGTTTGTGTTTTGTCTGAGCGCAGTTGGTAGAGCATTGGCCTTTCAGCCTGAAGGTCGTGGGTTCGATCCCCCCACAAGACTTACTCCAACGCCTCCCACTGATGTCTGCTGTCGTTGTGTCCTTGGGTAAGACACTTAACCCCATGTTGCCCGAAGTCCCTGCTGAAAGACCAAGGCAGTGTCACCATTGACGGAGCAACCATCTTCCGTGAACCCACCACCTGCAGGAGGATCAGCTTTGGGCATTGGGTGGCAGCTCTCATTGTCACCCCCTGACCCAGAAATGGACTAATAAGGGGGTAGAAAATGAATGTTTGTAATTGTAATGTGTCCTGTTTTTGTCTCTTTTGGAGTAATAGCGTCTTCTTTGTCAAGTGTCTGTTCTGTCCATGTTTGAGCAGGACACTCTTTGCTCTGGATAACACCACATTTCTACCAGCTTCAGCCAATATCTTTACAAGATCTTTAGCTTTTTTCTCTGAGGAGTTGCATATTTCTGACCAAAAGATTCTCATCTCTGCGACACAGCACCTGTCTTCTTCCTGAGAGCAATATGATGGTTGGACATTCCCATATGGTTTTGATTTAAGTGAAATTGATTAAAACAGCTGTATGTGGTACCTGTCTATTCTCTTATTGTACTATTTTATGTCTTGGCTGATTTCTTTTGTTTCCCACGTCGTCAAACAAGAAAAACAATGTATTGCCTTGAAATACAGTACACACAGTATGTGCACAACTAACGCAATTAACTCATCAGGCTCCCACAATTACTTGAGCTTAGTCATACTGTTAAATACAGAGACGTTTTATGGAATTGAGGAAAAATAAATATAAAAGTAACTTACTGTGTGCCTCATTCAGCTTAAGACGGGGACAAAGAAATCCTGGAATGTCTTTTACACTGTTTGCAAAGGTTTCCATTGTATACTCGATGTACCTTGAAGGAATCTCGAGGAAAAAGTGAAAACCATGTCTCCTGGTGACCATCTGTCCTTGAAGGCAGCGTATAGTTACTGTAAATGAAGCAGAAATGTAAAGTCATCAATCAAAGCTGCGTGGTTTCATCAACACACTCAGGAAGTGGGTGGAGAAGATGAGCACAGGTCTAACCAAGTGCTCCAGCGACACCAGCGCTGATGAAACCAGATTTACTACCTGTTACTCGGACAGAGCTTTGACGGATCGGATGACACCATGGCGCTTTGAAGGAAAAGGTAAAAGACCAGTTCAAGGGTGAGAGCCGAGAGAACGCTGTGTCGTCTGAGCGCAGAAAAATCCAAACTCGGTCCCACATGAGTTCATCAATCAATATCACAGAGCAGGGACCTGACAGCCGCAAATACAGAGGCCTGAGTGGGAGGCCGTCGGAAAACTCAATCCAAGAAGGTGGATATTTTCTTAATATTGTGTGTTACGTCCTAGAAAAATGAAGTGGCTATTGAAAGAGGCTATTGAAGTTATAATAAAAACACTATGTGGAAAAACATGGGAGGATCATTGAGACTGGTGGACTAGATATGGGAGAATAGATGACTGGGAAATCAACAGTGAAGCATAGAGAATATGCATTTAAGAGCTCATAAAGAAATTTAAATCCAACATTTATAACCCATCTGTGTCTTTTCTTCCACTCTCAATACAACAGGAACTATTGTTATCAAAATGTTATCCATCCATCCATCCATTTTCTACCCTTTAATCCATTTCTGGGTCAGGGGGGTGGCAATCAGAGATGCCACCCAAGTCTCATAGCACCAGCCCCTCACTGACCCTCTGCAGGTGGTGAGTCCACAGGAGGACGGCTGCTCTCTGAGTGTGAGCATAGCCTTGATCTTTCAGTGGGGGCTTTGGGCAAAGTGGGGTTAAGTGTCTTGCCCAAGGACACAACGACAGCAGTCATCAGTGGGAGTCGGTGGAGAAGGTGTGGAGGTGGGAATTGAACCCACAACCTTCAGGCCTGAAGGCCAATGCTCTACCAACTGAGCTACTGTCGCCCCTCATCAAAATGTTAAGTTTATTTAAAATGAAAACAATTTGAAAAAAATATTGCCTGTTTGAGACAGGTCGACGAAATATGGGAAATCAGAACTGCTTTTGCATTAAAAAGGTTAGATTTGAACTTAAATATTTGATCTAAAGCACAATAAATATTAATCATTTATTATTGTGTAAATTGTTGCTTTTGGTGCAGTCCTATAATATTGAGGTTTTTTTTTATTAGGATTAATTCATCCTACATTCTACAAATTCAGAACTTCATCTTTATCATTAGCAGGCAAAAGTGCACACACAAAAAAAATCCACAAAACAGCGAAGCCGCAAAAAAGGAACTGTGATATAATGAGGGGACCATTTTACAAGCAATTGTTTTTAAAGTTTGGTTTTGACAACTTTTTTAAGGAATGGATTTGGCCATGACACCGAATTTGTGAAAAATAAAAGATTCTCAACAATAAGAATAAGTTACAATATTCATGACATTCCACCCTCACCATTCAACATTCATATCAAAGCATACATATATTAACTCCCCAATAGAATCAACATCTTGCAGCAGAAGAAGTGGAGCAGACAGTCTCTTCCTCATCTGTCTTATTCCTCCCAAACGGTTTGTAGTGAGAGCTTATCAACACACGTGTCGGCTCTGGTTAGCTTTCCCATCCGTTTCACACTGTTTTCCTTCAGTGTCACTGGATCCCTCCGGCGGTGCGGCTGTGGCCTGTTTCCTCTTCAGGACTCCCAGCGTGAACAACCAGGGCGTGAAACTCAACCTCACACTGACCACTGCTTCACATTAACCCCAAAACCTCCAGGGCTGATTAGGAAAACACTTAAGTCTTGTTTTGGGAGCCAATAAAGAACATGGACACGCTACGCTAATTTTCACTGAGAAATGGCTGTCCGAAAGCAGGTTGATCTGTGATTGGATGTAACGAACATCTGGAAAGCCAAAAATGTATGTTAGTCCCTTTTGAATGAAGCAAGAATGGGTTCCAAAGGTTTTAAAAGTTCTCGCCGCGCTTTGTTCGGAGCAATTTTGAATCACTAGTGACCGATAAAGTTTTATGAATTGAAGTGACCTAACTCAAAGCAGCACGTGCCAGGTCCATACTGAGGGTTGGGTCAGAGTCCAGCTGCAGGTGTCATAGAACAAAAAATATATCATGGAAACACAAGTTAACATTCTTTCACATCAAGTGATGCTAAACTGTGTTCATAGTTCAACTTGTTGTATGTATTGGTCATGTGCAGTATAAAAATGGAATTCTAAAAACATAACGTAACTCAAAGATGTATACAGCTCTGCTTGTGTACAAGTCTCTCCATGGCCTCGCACCAAAATATATTAGTGACATGTTAGTCCCATATGAACCAGCCCGGACTCTGAGGAGCACAGGGACTGGACTCCTGTTAGTGCCCAGAGTCAGGACTAAACATGGGGAGGCTGCTTTTCAGATTCATGCTGCTAAAATCTGGAACTGTCTTCCTGAAGATGTGAGACAGGCCTCCTCTCTGACAATGTTTAAAACCAGTTTAAAAGCAGTCCTGTTTAGCTGTGCATACAACTGAGGGATTTTATGTTTTTATCTTTCTTTTTAATGTTCTGTGATTATTTATGATTTTAATGCTATCTTGTCCAGCACTTTGAATTTCCTTGTGTATGAATTGTGCTATACAAATAAACTTGCCTTGCCTTGCCTATAGGGGGATTTTCTACTCAAAAAGTTGAGAGGGCGATTTTTTCTTAAAGTTTGGGAATATCCTCTAAAAGTGCAGTGTATACCAGGGAAAAAATATATGTATATAAAAACAAATGTCACTGTGAAAAAAATTATTGAATCTTAAGACGGTTTTGGTTTTAGGCACCCCCGTTGTCTAAGTAGCCCTTAGCTTGGTTTTTAATTATTTATGTGATCAATTGTCAATATCCAACATCCTTATTCCTCCTTTATCTGGTGTGAGGTCATGGAGGCTGCAATCCAACTGTTCCTTTGGATCCTGGAACATGTCCCAAGGGATGTGGAGGAGCATTGTCCCTCTTTGAAGCACACGGCCGATTCAGAGGAGACTTATGTGTATCTGCGATAAACAAAAGTTCTTCATTCACTGTATAGTCTGCACAAGTTTGTCTTTCAATCACACGCTCCATCTATCTGTAACTCGATCGTAAACCAGACAATTCTTGAACAGTTCATTTCATCTATGTTTAGAAAATGTGTCCAAAAGTTGTATTCCTCGAGCTCCAATATTCAATAAGGAGTGAAACTTTACTTGTATGGCACTAAAATAAATCTATTCAAAAAAAGACTTGATAAAGAGCAAAATATGAACCTTTCAAATATTATTATTCACTTAAACTCTCTTTTTGAGGACTACAAGTCATGTTTTAATAATCTTGATGTGCAAAGTAATCAAAACCAGAGACGCAAAATGGAAAATCATTTATCGAGAGAAGTTGAGAACAATTATGACTGGAAATGAAAATACAGAGAGGCATACCTAATACGCTTTTACGAGCCCATAAAGTCATCAGAATCCCACATTTCTGTTTCTTCATCTGTGTCTTTCTTTCCCTCTCAGTATGACAAGAATTCTCACAACAATCCAGTACTTTATGTGTTTAAGTCATTCTAATTATCTTCTGATTACCACTATGAATAGAGACAGTGTATTCTCTCCCTTAAGAACAGCAGGAGGAAGAAGACATCACCGACAGCCAACCCTCCGGTGAGCGAGGCCTGAGATTACAGATGCAGCTGTGCTTTCTGTTGCTCAGCCCACATGGATTCACTCACGCTTTTTTACGGCAGGTCTCCCATTAAGTTATATTATATTAGGCTCTGGTGTTGCTCCCTCACTGCTACTCTGCTTGTCATCCCAAAAAATATGACACAAAGCAGCTCGATTCGGACAAATATGCATCCAGAGACGCTGTGTATTCATAAAGCTACTGAAAAGAGTCATTCTTCTGTTTCAAGACCTCTGATTTAATATGTTTCAGTTCCTGTTGCTTTATTAAGTTCATTTTTTCACCACTTTTGATGTACATCGTATGAGCTGTAGCGGTGTTTTTCAATGTCACCAAAATCATGTGAAAAGATGATAATGCCAGATGATTAGAAAGATTTTGTTGTTTTACTTATTTGTAAAATCAGTTGGTGTTGCGCCATATGATATGAGAATAGAGCCAAAAACGTACTGTATTACCAGGAATCTTATGGTGACCACATGACTTTGGTTTAAACTGTGTGTGTGTGTGTGTGTGTCTGTGTGTGTGTGTCCATTCCCAACTACATCCATCATACATATATTTTCTCTGTTGAATCAGCACGGTGGATCGCACTCTCACTGCTCAGCAAGAATCTCAATCGGAACAGGGCCTTTGGATGTTCTCCCTGTGTCTGCTCCGGTTTCCTCCGGGTGCTCCGGTTTCCCATACCACTAAAAATGGATCGTGTTGGGGGGCTTTGACGCACCAGTGTGTTTGGCATCTCGCTTCCGTCATAATCATTTGTGGAGAGAACAGGAACAATATCTGAACATTGGCGCTTTGGGTGACCTTGACTTACCAGCACTACATTTATTATAATGTTAAATCCAATTATGACCAACTTGTAGCTACTGTACAAGTGCATACACAACTATCGGGCCTGAATGTGTCTGGGAATATGGGACTGGTGATAGTAAGAATCTTGCGAAATGCTTTGTTCTGACATTGAGCTGTTTGAGACAAAGTTGAGTCTAAGTCCACATAGATAGCCACTGCAGTAAGATCCATCCATTTGACAGTGGGAATGCTGAAGACTGGTGGGAAGTAGAAATGATAATGCCGATGTCCCTCATTAAAACAGAAAAGCATCATAATAACAACTTGTCTTCTCTGCTAATAATAAATGCAACTGTAGACAGCGTCAGAAGTTTTCAAGGGTCTAATCTTGCTGCTTTGTGCCGCTGTTTATTCCAATAACAAATGGAAGCGTGCGTCACAGCCGGATTCACGCATAGATTTATTAATGCAAGGGTTGTGTTAATAGGTTGCGTTCATGTTGTACAATTCTATTTCAATGAAGGGCATGTTCCGATACAACTCTTTGGGAATAAAAAGGCATTGTTGAAACAAATGTAGAAAATACAATGCTCAAAATGTTTTCCCAGACCATGATTTAATTTTGATGAGATAGCTACTGAACAACATCATACATATTTTGATTCATACTGTTACCAATTCTAGAGATCTTTATGATAAAAAATTATACCCTAGTTGTCTAACTATAGTCTCATGTGGATTTGTCCGTGAATTACAGATACATTGGCTATAAACTAAGCCAATAATCTTTAGACACACATATGGAATGTTATGAAGTTTTACTGTTTTTCATTTCATTTTGATCTGACAATTAATACCATGAAAGGCAAAAACTGTCAGGCAATATTTGGCATAATGAGGATGCCGTTATCTTCACTCTATCTGGTGTTGATTGATGGGAGGGGAAACTGGAGTACCTGGAGGAAATCTACACAGCCATGGGGAGAACATGCAAACTCCAAAACCCCTCATCACCTGGGACTCAAACCCTCAAGAGTTGTAAGAGCTCTAAACATTCCTACAAATCCTTAATTCACTATTTTTAGTTTTGGCACTACCAGTTATTTCCAGTTCAACACTAGAACTCCTTGAGCAGTCCATTTTGGTTGCTTGGAGACCAACAGTTAAAGCTGAAGGTGGTGGTCCTGGAAAGATCCTGGACTGGTTCAGAACAATCTCAGCTTGGAGCCAGATCTAGTAACCGTAGCAACACACTGTTTACTTTACAGCAGGTAGCATTTAGTAGCCTCTCAACAAACTTTCTGCTGCATTTGAAGTTATATTAGTCCTATTTAGCATGTATTGAATATGATAAAAAAGTACAACTTGCTTACTTTGAACAAAGGCAGTGAAAAACTAGCGAGCCGTCAAAATGACTGCTGTGACAGTTCTAGTAGTTTCTGAGTCCTAGTCTCAATGGAAAAAAAATATCCAAAATAAAGCCAGATCCATTGCAGCAGTACTTGGTTAGACCACTTTGGATGCACACACCCTGTTCAGATTCACGGCGTGGATTGAGTGAATGTGGAGAGTTTGTGGCACTAAATGGACGCTCCACTCAGTAACAGTAAATATACCAAATACCCAGAGGTCCTGTTCTCTGCTCGCTACAGTTATGTTGTGTACAGTCAAAGCCATTAAACTACATTACTGCCCTAAGTGCTCGGAGCAGAGTAACTAAACGGGCACTTGTTAGCTTTATTGCTACGGTGGTATTGGCGTTTTCTACCGAGCTTGCAGCCATGCATTATGGGGGAAACACATTCATCCTAAGTTTGGACCAGTTTTAAGCTGAGGTCAGGTCTTCATTACCGATTGGTTTAATTAAGAAAGTATGTAATAAGGATTGGAAGGAGCAGTTCTCGTAATTAAAATGTTTAGAGAAATAATGTCGACCAAGGACCCCAGACCTAAAGGCGCCATGCATTCTTTCTGGGCTCAGTGTTGGCATGGTGAAGTGTTTCTTGCAAAATACAAAATAATACATTTACTAAAACATGTATAGTTAATACCTTCACCTGTTTTGATAAAATATGCTTTTTGCCTTAATCCTTTCCTCATGATGCGAGCCAAGAAAGATTGTTGACCTCAGTTGATCAGAGGAGGCCGAAAGGGGTTTTCTCTCCAATATCCCACTGCATCACGTTGCATTTGCAATAGTTAAAAGTTAAATTTGAGGTAATTATTATACATAGCATATACATAGCAGAG